GGCCTGTTCCGCATCCCTGTTTACGTGCCTGAGTCTTAGGGGCAGGTCGAAGCAATGAGGGCCTGAAAATGGCCCTCCGTTTCAGGCTGAAAACTCTGGGTCTGAAAAGACCCAGAAATAGGCTGAAATGGGGTAGGGCCTGCAGGCCCTCGTTTTTCAGCTTTCAGGCTGAAACGACCGGGGCCTGTAAGCCCTAAGTTTTAGGCTTTTAGGCTGAATGTCCGGGACGGGCCCTGCAGGGCCCGTGTGGCTACGCAGTATGCCACAGTAGCTGTAGGTAATTTCAGTTAGTACGGGCCTGTGTTTTTCCCGAATTTACAGATATGTCCCTCAAGAATTTCCCTACAGGCAGGTCTCTCAGTTAGCCCTCAGCCAAACAAAATCACGAAACTATCCTACCTATAGTACAGCCTCGACAAGAGAGGCTATAGGCCACTGGAACTAGCAAGTCATTGCAACAGTGCACGGCAGCCAGGCTAGCAGTCATGGAGGAAGGAGGCAAGGAGCATCCACGGCCAGTCACTCCGCCTAGCGCGAGCCATAGCTGGGCCGGGAGAGGAGGAAGAAGCATGGTGCCTTGTCTGGGTGATCAGGGAAAGGGACCGCAGTGGGAACTGGTGGTACTTACCTGGTGGTCGTCGAGGAGCACTCGAGTGGGTCAAACTCTTTAGCATCATCATAACAAGGAGCGCACGAGGAGTACTTACCTGACAAGAGGGTAGTGTACACAGAGTGTGACGGACAGAAGTGAGAGGTGTACAGAGAGAGAGGAGAAATAGTATAGGCAAACACATCATGGTAGAGCTACTATTGATTATTGGAGGCAGTAAGTGGAGCTTTCTTTGTCAAGATACTTCACTGTTCAGTGCATTCTCATTCGGTGTGCTCTCCACTTTGTAACTATTGCTCACATACACTTGTCCTGCTTCGACTGTTCCCGCTTTGACTGTTCCTGCTTCAACTCTTCGAGTCTTTTTTGCAGCTCAGAAAGCTTGAGTTCCTTGGTAAAAGTCTGTGAGCACGCACGCACGCACCAGCATGCACCACGCATGTGCGTGCACGCGCGCACACAGGCATACACACCCACATGCGCACGCACGCACATGCACACACACACGCACACACATGCACACCCAAACCACGCACGCACACAATCATATTATTTATCATTATTTTGCTCTCTCTTCTTCCGAGTTCTTGTCCCATCACTTGGCCTTTTCGCAGATTTGCTTCTGAGGAGCTGTGTTGTGCCAAATAGTTGGTGCTTGCTGTATAGAGTCTGTAACACTATCAGGGAGCTGGTGAGTTTTGGATGCCGGTGACCCGGTGTTTCCTGGGTGATGACAGACATTCGTCTTGTGACCTCCTGGCGCTTGATGGCCCCGTGAACCCTTGACACAGAAAGTCACCCACTCGACGCTTCTGCCTTGCGTCTCCAGGGTTTTCCATATGATGTGAGTAGGTGACAAGTCCACATTGGTCCTGGATGTGTCCATGGGTTTGTGTGTTGCTGTTTGCTTTGCTGCTGTCCTGCCCACCCACTCGCCTTCCCATTCAGTGCCTTGTTCCCTCAATTCTCAATGTGCTACCCTGCTGTTTGCCTTACATTGCTGCTTCGTTACCTTGCTGCCTTAATACCTTGTGGCCTCGTTACCTTGCTGCTTGCCATGCTACCCTACGGCTTGCCTTGCCTTGTCACCTAGCTGCCTTGCTGCCTTGCTGCACATTGTGCTACCTGGTTGCTTGTCTCACTGCCTTGTTGCCCTCCTGCCTTGGTGCTTTGCCGGATTCTGCCAGTCTGTGGCTCGCCTTACTGGCCTGCTGCCTTGCGGCCTTGTTACCTCACTGCTTTGTTGCCCTCCTCCCTTGGCACTTTTCTGCATCGTGCTACCTGCTGCTTGCCTTACGTTGCTGCCTCATTACCTTCCTGCTCACCATGCTACCTTACGGCTTGCCTTCCCTTGCTGCCTTGCTGCACATTGTGCTACCCTGGTTGCTTGGCTCACCACCTTGCTCCCCTCCTGCCTTGGTGCTTTGGAGGATTCTGCCGCTCTGTGGCTCACCTTATCGGCCTGCTGCCTTGCGACATTGTTACCTCGCTGCTTTGTTGCCCTCCTCCCTTGGCAGTTTGCTGCATCATGCTGATTTGCAGCTTGCCTTCCCGCTTTTTTGCTTCGCTGTGTGCTGCCTAGTGCATACTGTGTGTTGAAAGGGTTGCTGTGTTGTTTTTTGCCTAGTAGCCTTGTCAGTGTTGCCTTGCTGCCAATCTCCGTGTCTTGTCTTGCTGTGCACTTTGCTGGTTTCCCGTGTGGCTTGGCTGCTTGTCTGTGCTGCCTAGTGCTTTGCTGCGTTGATGCCTCGCTGCCTGGCCGCTTGCCCTGTCTTTCCATGCAGCTAGCTTTTGTGCTGTGTAGTTGGGCTGCCCCACCCGTTAGCGTTTCCTGGTGCTTTGCTGAGCCGTTGCCTTGCTGCCATGTTCCACTTCCGGTGTTGCCTGCAGGCCGTCCACTTCCAACAGCGGTCAAAAGAGTCCATGACTCAAAGCATCAATATAGGAACTCCGCAGATTGTCGAGGGTTCAGTCTCCTGATGATTTGGTATAAGTCCGACAAAACAGACTGTGTTTGTTTGGGTCATGGAGGACTTGCACCAGCTCGGCAGGAGGCTGACCCCTCGAACAATCCATGACTCAAATTGCAACACATGCCTGCCCTCATGTCTGTCACCTTGATGCTGCTAGTCTTGATGTTTGCCATACCGTTCAACAGCCCACCCAACCCCAGCTGTGCCTTGTTGCCTGCCTTGCTGCTGCTTACCGGGCGGTTTAGCTGCTCGCCATCCTTTGCCGCTTTGCCTGCTTGGCCGCCCCTGCGGCTTGCTGCTTGCCTTGTGCCCTGCTGCGCATCGTGCTAACAGCGCTCCCACCTGCCTACCTTATTAATGCTTGCCGCCCTCTTCTTTTCTAAAAGGGCGAAAGCCTTGAAATATCATCGTGAAACTGACTGGCCCTAGGTAATTCAGGAATTCTAAGTTCATCTGGTTCCATCTGGATTCGAACTCACGTCTGCATTTCAACAGTTTATGAGTGTACCAACTGAGCTAAGCTCGCTGTTATGCTTATCATATGGCCCTACTGCTTGACTTGTCCTTTGGTTGCTCAGCCTGTATGTAGGCTGAAGGACGCGACTCCCGCCCAGGTGCACACTGCTCACGCTCGCGCAGTATAGCGCTGCGTTCCTGCACCGTGCCTTGCTGTAGATTGCTGTGCAGCTTTGGCGCTCCCGTTGCTTTGCTACCTCACCCACTTGCCCATCCCTTTGCCTTATTTCCCTTCCTCACACAACCATTCGTCTTCCCAAACGCCCGTGTGCATTCCTGCCGTGGAGATCTTGTTACTGCTTTCCTTGCCGCTGCTTCTGTGTTTTCTCGCGTCACGGGTTGACGGAGATTATGCCTCGACACATCATGAGGGGATTCAGCAGACCGTCTAGGGGTCAGCTCCTGATGAGTTCGACGAAGGTCTGCCGAAACTGTCTCTCACGATCCTCGTCATCATCTTCCTACCGACCTTCTGTTTGACATGTGCTTTTGTCATAATGCTATTTTGGACCTTGATTTAAAATGTCAGCACCCCGCCCAGCTATTATTTTTTCCCTCTGGCATGCTCAAAGGTCAATGGGCAGGGTTGGCCCAGAGATGGAATAACACATATGTGATTGAAGATCAGGCAAATGTGCGACACACTTGGCATGCAGATGTGAAACACACGTGATCCAAGACCGTTATCCAAAAGAAAGACAACATAACTTTATTATGAGAACAGTAGTAAATGACCAAGAGACCCAGTGGTCGGGCTCGTTGAGTCACTACTTTCTCCCCCCATCAACTTCTTCTTCTTCTTCTTCTTTTGTTCCGCCAACCCTTCTCGCGGCAACCCCCGATCCCAGCCTCGGGCTATGCTAAATCTCATTTTTTTAATTCTTTTTTTTTTTTTTTTTTGGGGGGGGGGGGGGGGCGGTGTTAGCTACGCTCAATTTCGAAATAGAGGATAGGAGCAGTTTAGTCCACTGTACAACCAGCGATTTAAAAAAAAAAAATATTGCATTTTATTTGGTACCACCAGTGCATTCTGTCGGAAACTCGAGCTCTGAAAACGAACGCTGTGCTTCCCACTAACACCAGGCATTTATGGCTTTGACTGCATGGGACCCAAACATAGCTCGTATACATTCAAAATGAGTACTGTGAGGAGAAGGGAGGCCTGACAGTTATGACCATGGTTTTCCTTCTTTTTTTTTGTTTTCATTCTATCCCACTACAGGCTACAGCAAAGAGAGGCTAGAGCAAAGAACGCCGTTCTTCCCTCGAACACCACGCATCAAGGACTTGAGTCACTTGACTGTATTAGACCGGAAAGATAGCTTGTATACATTCAAAGCGAGAAGCACTGACAGGAGAAGTGAGGCCCAACAGTTGCACACCATCACTTTTTTTTGGGGGGGGGGTTCCCCACCACTGCAATAACCCATGCATATGTCTCGTGGAATATCTGAGGGTTTACTAGGCCACCCTCAGCCCAGGCCAAAACGAGGATTCCGGGCCTGGACGTGAGACAGTTGACTTTAGTCAACTGTCGAAATACCAACAGTCAAAGGTACCCAGTCCAGGCCGCCGGTCAGGCACACACATTCGTTTGTATGCAGGTACCCAGACAGCATCAGGTCCAGAGGGGAGTCTGCAACTGTACACAATCCAGGCCCTCGGCTGGGAGTCAATCTGGACGACTGTGGGGAAGGGAACCGAGGCCAGAAAGCATCGTCAAATGCTACTATAAGGCTGGCTTCGAGGTGGTCAACATTCAGTCTTGCTATGCTGCTTGGACGCTGGCTTGACTTCGACCAGACGCTGGCATTGACGCTGGCATGATGCTGGTGAGACGCTGCATATACGCTGGCTGTGCGCAGGCACTGTGGACAACGACGCGGACTGCGGCATCATGCTGGCGCGTTCTGCATGATGCGCCAGGCATGCTGATGTGGCGCTGCCTATGGTCTACATTGCATGCTGATGTGGCGCTGCCTATGGTCTACATTGCATGCTAATGTGGCGCATGCCACTGGTCTTCATTGATGATGTGGCGCATGCCACCTGTTTCGACTGCTGACGTGGCATTGTCCATGCTGTCTACATGAGGTGACTGGTTGCGAGGAGGAGGGAGATCGTGATCTGTGGATGACTTGGTTCGGGTACTCACCTGAGGTTGACTCGTCACGGTATTCTGCAGTGTCTTCATGGTCTTCACGAGATAACAGTGCGACGTGGCACTACTGTGTGATCAGGATTATTATACTTGTTATCATATACTGGTTGATGACGTGGAGAGGGAAGCAGCCCGGAGAAGAAGTGGGGTTTGATGGGATTACTCTTGTGTGATCTTTGATCGCCTCTTCCACCTTCTCCTCTGTCTAATCCCCCTCCACTCTCTTCGTCTAATGGTAATGAGATACTGTTTCAGATATCACTTCTCGATAATTGAAGACTTGTTGCAGATGTCAAAAGACTAATGATGCATGACGATTGATGAGTATCTGCCAGACTGGGTTCATTACACCACCACGTTTATCAGGTAGCTAGAGGCTGTACTGAAACTTCTCCCTCCAACATTGCGCACTTTGTTTTGACTGCATTGGACTGGAAAAAGATAGCTTGTATACATTTGTCACTCCACTGTTATGGTTCTCCCAAACGACCGTAGTGCGCATTGAGGAAAATACCTGTTTAAGGTTGGGCGGCGGGCGTAGGCCATGGACAGGTTCGGCGGCCAGCGCTCAACGGTACTGGGGTTTAATACACCAATTGCAGATATGAATCTCATGCTCCTGTGCAACACTGCTCAACTGGTTGCAGCACACATGCCTTATTTGGCCACAGCACACTGCATATACGCATGCATGCTTGAACACCCACCCGCCCGCACGCACACACAGCCACCCACACACATGCACAGCCGCCCACACACACGCACAAGCACAAGCACACACACACGCACACACACACACACACACACACACACACACATTTATCGGTAACTTCTCTTTCCTTTTCCTCTTCTCATTCCAAGCATTTTCTTTCTGTTGTCCAGTTTGTGTGTTCTCTGTTATTCTCATATGTCTGCGTGAGCACCCCCAAGATGTGCCAAATAGTCAGTGTCTTTTTGTTTGGGTTGCCCGGAACACTATCGGGGGTCCTGCTGTGTCGGGTATGCCTGTGTGTCTGTGCATTCACTGGATGATGACAGATATTTGCCGAGGTGACACCCTTGCTCCAATGGTGCTGTGAACCTACAGTCTGTAGAGTTCTACTTGTGGTGTGAGTAGGTGATGATCTGCTGCGGGCCGTGCTGTATAATGGCTCAGCTATGTTGGTGCTGCCCCATTGCTATGTTGACCTTCTCACTTTCCCTGCGTGCTGCTTCGCTGCCTGGCTGTCCGTCCAATCTGCTGCCCATCTCCTTAACCCCGCACACCACCCCCCTTGTGCCTCCGTGTCTTACTACCTCGCTGCCTCTCTCCCTCCTGTTTGCTGCCTCACTGCCTTGTTGCCTCGCTGCTTCATTGCCTCGCTGCCCTGTTGCATTGCTGTTCCATTGCCTTGCTGCCTTGTTGCCTGCTAAACCTTCAGGAGACAATTCAATCAAATTCGAGATCGTGGGAACTGGGGAAATAACTCCACGGTGGTACCATACCAAGGAGAATTCAGAGATCCCGGAGTAAGAATTGTCCTGTGCGGACCCTTAAGGGGATCAGCCTAAAACCGTTCTGTTCCGACACTGAGTGAGGTCTCGAACAATCAACACGATCTAGATTCCAATCTAATACTCGATTGGTCGGACCGGACCGTGTTCGTATCTCAGTCAAGGAACACGTGAAAGCCTGCAACATCACTCTCCACTGATTGTCTAGATGAATCCAAGATCGGATACGAGACTGACTGGGCCCTTTGTAAATAAGAGAGAGGCGCAGAGCTGACGGATCTCCACGAAATAAACAAATGCGAAAGCAAGGCCTTTGTTCGGCAGAACATAAATTTTACGTCAGCAGATGATTTTGTTCTATTGCTCACTAAGGCCGTAGAAGGCACGAAGTGCTCAGCCTAGACAAGACACACCTCTAGCCTTTTTCCAGATATCTGCCATTCTTTTTTGTACTTCATATCAAACTGAGGACGAAGCTATGACTTTGTTCATGGGATATCTACTCTTGTTTTTTTTTTGCTATCCTATTCTTGTATCAATTACTTTACGAAACCTAATAACTTAATAAGTCAATAATATGATAACACATATCAACATTTATCTTGAATTACTACGACCTTCTTATTTTATGTTATACTCAAAGATCTTATACAGAGTTCCATGATTTACGGCTCCAGGGCCTTCGGCCTCCAGGGATCCTTCAATATACCATTGCGCACCATGAAAGGTACCCATTATAACATTAAGGGCCGTGTGAGCACTACGTCCCGGTCTGAAGCCATGTGAATAAGTGGAAAAGTGGGGTTCATAAATAGGTTCTAAGATCATTCTAAGAACTTCTTGTACGATCCTGTCCTGGAAGCATGATACTCCCAGTGGACGCTTTTCGTTTGTTCAGCCCTGTTGCTTGCCTTGTTGTGCCTAGCCCCTCCCCTGCCCCAAGCTTTCTGGCCTATATGCTTGCTGTTGCTCGCCATCCGGTACCTTGTTGCCTTGCACTGGCATTGCCGCTTGTGATGTCACCTGTTGGCCGCCCCTTTTTTTTTGTTTTCTTTAAATAATTCGAACCATGCTTGCTGTTGCTCGCCAACTGGTACCTTGTTTCCTTGCACTGGCATTGCCGTGCACTGGCATTGCCACTTGTGATGTCACCTGTTGGCCGTCCCCTTTTTTTCTTTTTTAAAAATTTGGACCATTTCTCGATTTATGTGTGTCATCCTTGCGCAGGGGCGATGCTAATCATCTCTGTATCGTTCCAATTTCAACGGATGTTGCGACACCTGTTGGCCATCCACTTACAACCGGTGTTAAATGAGATCATGACTCAAACCTCAGTGAGGTGATCCAGCAGCCTGTCAAGGCTTCATCCTGCTGATGAGTCGGTGCAAGTTCGACAAAACAGTCTGTGACTCTGTGGTGGTCCTTGTCTTTTTTTTTTGGATTTTCGTTTTTGTTTTTTTCTCCTATATAATAGGCTATATTAGTATATTCTTTTTTCCTGTCTTCAGGAGGTCTGTTTATGATGTTGTCTCAGGCTAGGTGGTGTCTTGGGCGTACGATTAATGCGCCAATTGGACATATGTGTTTTCCACCAGTGAATGTGTAGAGTGGGTCCTTAAGTTGATTGCTGTCAGATTGGCATGAAACACATACTTGTGATCGGCTGTCTCAGACTAGGTGGTCTTGGGCCTATTGCTAATGCACCGATTGCAAGTATGTGCTTCATGGCAATCTGACACCAATCAACTTAAGGACCCACTCTAACACATTCACTTGTGGAAAACACATATGTGCAACTGGCGCATTAATGGTATGCCCAAGACTTCTCCCACAAAACCCACTCTACACACCCACTGAGCAAAGGATGTGTGCTTATTTGGTGTCTGGTATGATCGACTGCAGCACTGGTAGTGCAGCATGACAGCTCTCAACTTCATGCACCACGCTGCACTACAAGTGCTCCAGTCTATCATAGCAGACACACTACGTAAACAGTGCAGAGAGTGGATTTTATGGATGAGACGGACTAGTTCCTCAGACATACTGCTGTTCTTGTCAGGGGTTTGGACTAAGAAGTCTGCTGCTACACTCGCAGGGTCGGTTGGTGTCAGAGAAGTCGACCAACTCTCTCTCTCTCTCTCTCTCTCTCTCTCTCTCTCTCTCTCTCTCTCTCTCTCTCTCTCNCTCTCTCTCTCTCTCTCTCTCTCTCTCTCTCTCTCTCTCTCCAGGGTATCGTTAACTCTAGGCGAAGTGGCGAGTCTGTATCCATCAGTCAAATGCATTCTTGGCAGACTGTCAGGGTTCAACCTCCTGATGAGCCCGTGAGAGTCCAGTGAAACAGTCGGGCACAATCATGCCTTCCTCTGGACTTCCGTATAGCAACATGACAGCAAACACATGCACACACTCACGCTTACACGCGCACAAAAAAAATCAAAAGGGCATGCATACACATTACTGTACATCATATCAGAATGCATATTTGACTAACAATCCAGTCTCATCATGAGTGGTTGAAGCGAAGCTCAGAAGCAATGGCAAGGAATTAGAACAAGTGCTGAGCATCGTAGCTGGCAGACAGAGGGTAGCATTGAACAATGCTCAGGAAAGAATCTGAGCAGTCGGAAAGAACCCAAAAATAGAGTCGAACAAGTCGAATGCCATTCGAATGCTCGAATAAAGAACAATTCGAAGGAAAGCATCCATCGCCACACATTCACGCTTGACAACAGTGGTTTGATAAATTTCAAATTTGGTGAATTCAGTCACGAGCTGGGCTACGAACCGCATCACGCGGGTCTCTTGGTTGCCTGCCGGTGCGGTCAGGCACCGGCCAGGGAAGGTGCCTAAAAAAATAAAAAAATAAAAATCCTATGTTAAGACTTAAATCTTAAAAGTTAAAACTTAAAACGTATGCAGAAAAATAAACTGATTCAAATTCGCCTCAGGGTCAAATCGAACCTCCTTAGGGTCCTTGGTCAACACGGGTGTGAGTGGGTGGCGTGCGGTGTGTGGGAGAGTGTAGGCCTTAGACACTGCTGTTATTCGGTTGGGGGTGGGGGATGATGAAAAGGGAAGCACAGCTACTGGCAAAATGCTAGGTCTTTGCATTAGCCCGACCCCCACCGCCGGCCCCACCCCATCCTTGACCACCACGGTTGGGGCAGGGGGCACATGCATCCCCTGTGATGGCTGGAGGGAGACAACAAAGCTATGTTCGCAGGGGTTCCCTGTATAAGACTTAGGAGTAGTGGTAGGTAGGTAGAGAAGGTGAATTGAAGAATTTGAAAGATGATGAAAGATTTGAGAGAAGAACATACGAAAATTTTCAAAAAATGAAATTGAAATTTAAAATTTAAAATATTATTTTTGTGTTTATTAAACTTTATTTCTTTCAATTTTCTTTTGACCCGGCCACGCAAGTGGGCCCCAACCACTCTGGTAGTCTAGGTTACGAGTCTAACGACTCTCTCGAGTTGTTTGTCTATCTAAGAATCTAAATCCAGTTTCGCCTTTTCAAGAATTACAGCATTTCATCTAGACACTGCTGGTGGAGATCAGGTACTTCAATTAACAGCTGTGTGAGGCCCATGCCTTTTCAAATCTGCAATTATGAATACACGACACAGAAAATATGTAGCAAAATACATCAGCCTCCTCACCTGTGCATGTGCATGCACATCAGCCCCATCGTACACCAACCCGATCAATCTTCCATTCGCTGCATAAAGAATGTCTTTTTCCGGAATCTGAAGAGACAAGTGGTTTGTAAAAGGAACATTATCCCCACATATTTAGAAAAAAATAAAAAACATTAAAAAAATGAAGTGATTGCCGTTGACATCAATAAGTAAACATGTAAGGGAGAAAGCATCCCATCATCGCTTAGCAGTCCAAATCTGCGCGTTTATATAAAATGAGAAAAATTGCCTGTAAGTAGTAACACCGCCCTGATATGAGATATGTCCAGTTTGAGTCAGTAGCCAGGATCGATCCGCAGCCAGAGAGAATCGAACCGGTGACCTCGGCCATAACAGCCGCCGGATATGCCTTACCACTGCAAATGTGACCCAGAGTACAAAACTGAGGCCGTGAGATAGACTGACAGAGGATCTAATGACATACATCACAAGATTAAGAGATCTATAAATCGCTTATATTCTGCAGTAACACACTTTGTTGCAGACCTGCATTGCAGTCTCATCTTGTTGTCATATTAGTATATTGCCCATTTTTGTATAATTTGACCTCTTTGGCAGTCTTCGCTGTCCCCTTTTTTCCTTTTTTTCCCCGCCCTGAATTTCTCATATTTCCACAACTAGCAAACCACATTTCAACTTTAACTTCTTGACTGCATACTGCCCCTTTACCTCCCCCCCCCCCCCCCCCCCCCCCCCCCCCCCCCCCCCCCCCCCC